TACGGGTGAAGACATCCGGTAATTTACCTCATTTATAGCGTAAAAAAATATTTTATACCAAACAGCTAAAATTTCATAATCTTTTTCACTGCCTTTTAAGTAATGGTGTCTTAAAAAGTTATGTTAGAATGTTGATGTAATTTTAGAGGCTTAACATGTGGAAGCACCTGTTAGAAGCGAGCTCACGCGTTGGATCAACAGTACACACACTTCCAAAGAAATTTGTAATATTTCATTATTAATGAAGCAAGAAAGTAAAACTGCCCATAGTTTTTCATATCGTTATGACCTCGAAGTTGAAATAATGACATTTAGTGAGAAACCGTTGGTATTATCATTATTATTATTAATATTATTATTATTGTGAGAAATAAAATTATCTTTGTTGTCTGCAACCACTGAATTGAGATGTTACTAAAAAAGAAAGCAGTTCTTAACATGATTATGAATAGTTTTTATTTTCTGTAGAGTGCGTACACAGCGCTTTGAATCAGGAATAAATTGTTCTCTAAACGTAGTCTGTACTGCGTAACTGAAACTGAAATATGTCCGAAGGAATGAATATTTGTAACTAATGTAGAGAAGATTAAATATGTGAGGTAATAATAGTTCATTTGGCCTCAAATTTTTGTAATGCTGTAAATTGATAGCGTCAGAAAGCTATGCTAATTTGAAAGATGTATTAGTAGCTTGTTTTTAGCTTAGTTTGTAGATTTGTAAGAGCTTGTAGAACACGGTGTTTCACCTCTTTTAAACTTAAATATGAATACCTCCAGCATTTTATTACCTGACAAAACAAAAGCTTCCATTTTCTGTTATTCTATTTTATGTATCGATTGATTTTTAAATCTGTTCTGTCATTTGTATATTACAAATGGTATTTAACTTGATTTCTGAACTTTGTCCATTGTCCAGTATTCTGAAAGGAAGACATTTTTGGACACTGGATCTGTTTCTGTCCACAGCAGGGCCAGAATTGACCATCAGAGTGAAATTTATTATCCTGACTGACGGGAACACTAAAAAATGAACGTGAAACTGAACTGTAATATGCGAAGATGAGTGTAAAGCTAAGATGGACGGTGTTTGTACAACAGATTCATTAAAATATTTACACCCTCACTCTGCGAGGCCCTAAGCTGTAGCTTAGTTAGCACGCACGTGTCAGGCAGTGGTCTACAGATGGAAAGATGGGGAATTCCCACTATATTGGGTCAATTAGAAAGAGTGATTGAGGTTAGCGTGTTTTAACAGATCGGCTGAGCACGTTCTCCACGCCTTTTCACCTGAGGGCACAAACAGTTCCACTTTTCCCAAATATTGTGTTCTTTTCAGAATATTAGATTATGGACGAAGTGCAGAAATCAGTAATACTTGTTGCATTTTTTCTGTTTCAGTGCTGGGTACGAAAGAAGGGACGGCTTCACCTTTGTGATGCCTTGCATTTGTTACAGCTTTTAAAGTCGAATTAAAAGCAGTGTCTCTACAGGACTTAGATGTATTTTTATTTGGTTGGTATTTTACTAGAAATGGCACTGCGGTTATATGTTTCTGTTATATTTCATGACTAGAATTGCAGTAACAGAGACAGAAATGCCTAATTAAACAAGAAGTACTTGGTGACTTAATTTCTGCACAGTAAAAACCAGGAATAAACCAATCAGAATTTCCATGGAACACTGCTTCACTTATTTGATTCTTAATGACACTAACCGGTAATGAATATAGATTTTCTAGTCATTATTTGTAGAGTTTTGGCCAATGTGACCTGAAAGGATGTTGCTTTGCTGGTACTGGATTTCCCGTAACTTGGCTCAGAGTTAAAACTGCATTTGGTAATCATTTATGTATATTCACATTGCTTTATTGGTTATCTACTGCACTCAACACCTCAATTCATTGGGAAAGGAATATATAGACTGTGCTACTTGTAATGTATTTAACATGTAACAAATAAGGGATTACAGTGATTGTTTTAACACCACCTACTTCGATCTTTTAACAAATTCAGTTCTGTACATTCTGATCCTTGTATGTCCCCGACCAATAATATTGAGTTGAGTCCTCACGTTTAATCTCCTGTGGACATGAGTGGGAGTATATAATTATATCACCAGGGTTGTAACTTAAGAATATGATTACTATTTTATATTACGTGTTAAGTAGCAAAAATTTGTGAGGACTTTTCAATTCAATATTAATTTCCTAAAATATTAATTTTGAAGTCTTAACCCTGGCACCTGTGATACGCTTCAAAGATGTAAATAAGCCATTGCTAGTTTGTGGGCTGTAAGACTGTCCCAAACAATGAAGCTGTCTTTATGAGCTAGTGCACGTTGAAAATATTATGACTTTGCGTTGGAGGGTTTGGTCTTTCGGGACATCCGCTAGTGAAGTTGCACAATGAAATAATTTCTTTAAATGCAAAGCCTGAATGAAACCAACAGACAAGTGATATAATTACTTTTGGTATGTTTTACATGCGTGTGTTATGGACCCAGCACTCTGCACAAAAAAATATGATGAAACATACAACCAGTTTATTAAATTGATATTAGTATGTATTTAGTTATTTTTCAGTTTCCCATTATATTTAATATAAAATATGCATCTTTAATATCAGAAACGTAAGAATCTTGAGATTTTATTTTATCTTCCCTTAAAAACAAACATGCTATACATTCTAGTAAATAATTTACTAGAATGTATAGTGTGTTTATATAATAATGATATAGGATTCACAGTAGGCAACTAATGTTAAAGAATTCACCCTTCAGAAAGTTCAGATAGTCGAAGTTTTTCCATCTGCACTGGCAGTTCGTTACTTCGGGCGTGTTACTGAAGTTCAAGACATGAACCATTGTTTTAACCTCCAGAGTTTAACACACAGGTAACAAACAGGCCTACAACCAAACTGAAGGTTTCCATAACAAATCGTATTGCCCTTTCGTCTTATGTTGTTACAGTAGTTTATCTTGTACATGTGCTTTTGTATGAGGTTGAAAACGGAGAAGAAATTGAGGAAATTTTGTATAAAAGCCTGAGAGTAAACGATGCCTTGCCACAAAATGCTGTTGTTGACGGTAGTTTGGTTATGTGCTGTTCGATTAGATATCGATTAACACTATTTAAATATGTCGTCAATTCGATAATTACTCGCATTAGGCTGAAAGAAAGGTTTCCATGAATTGGGTGAGTCTGTTCTAGAGAGTTAGTTTTCAAATCGTTAAAATTATAATAATTTAAGTCGCCTAACATGCCGTACGTGTATTATTTTCTCAAAGGGCCTCGTGATTGGCTCAGCCGCCATGACTCAGAGTGGGCGCAGGTAGTGCTCTGGGTGGTGCATAAGTACAGTATAAGGTAATCAACGTAGTTAAATGCCGGACGAGTCGGTCCGTCGCCTATAGGAAAAGGGTTAAGTAAACAGCGATTCAACTTGTGCATGTCGCACAGAGTTCCAACAAAGATTCTCAGGTTTTGATATTACTGCTAAATCTACTATTCATTACTTGATTCATAAATTCAAAATTACGGTTTTGGACAAGAAAACAAAAGGAAGACGCATACTGAATGAAGAAAACGTTGGTATTGGTGCAAGACCGGAGATTTCGCGAACAAAATCACTGGCAAAACGAGTCCAGGAAGCTAACGTTACAACCTCCTCAGCAAGAACAGCATTTTTTTTTTAAATTTTGCCCATATAAAACAAGTGCGTTCTTTGCAACCAAGAGACTGCTACAAGGTTACATGTTTGTGACTGGTTTATCCAGTCAGGAATGAACGTACACCTGCCCCACAATTATTGATTTTAAATGGACGTATGAACACGCATAATAACCAATACTGATCATCGGTAAACCCTGGAATTCTTCATGACTCGAAAGTTGGTATTTGGTATGGATTAAATGCAAGGAGAATAACTCGTTCTATCTTTACGGGCGGACTTATCTCAGGCACAGTAATCTGATTCTAATTTTTGGGGCAGTTTGAAATACAAAGTGTACAAAAGAAATCCACATATATTACATGAATTTGAAGAAAATATTATGTTATACAATGTTTACTTGTTTTAAGAACGTGAGGTGTTAAATGTGCGCCATTGAACGCCCTGTCTAACCTTTGCTATCATCCGGCCGTGTACTAATTGTAGTAGTCTCCGTATGCAGGTCGTACCGGGACTATAGAGTTGTTAAGAAGATAAAATTATCAAATACTCTCTGCAGTGTTAATTTTAATAGTGATGTGTAGTGTGGTGTAGTGAAATCGACTTTCCTGTGTTATATACCATGGTGATGTTTCACTTTATTTGGAGTGTATTGTACGCGGCCTGCTGTCGTCCCTGTCCAGCAAACTTCTGGTAAGTGAGGCTCCAATTCACATAGTTCAAAGGCCAAAAACGCTGAATACAGCTATACAAAAATCAGATTACAACCAGGTCCACCCCTTGTAATAGACTCTCCCAATCTCACCTGTGATATTCGAGTCAAGGTCATCCCAGTTACTAGGTCATTTCGCCAGTTGTGGGAACATGGTATATTCACGAGTAGAACGTGTCTTATTTTTGAAAATTGTTTTATATCGAAGTCATTTGCTGCTGTCTATGAATCATATAGTGTGTCCTGACAAGAAGTAGGTACGGAATAAGACAACAATTGGTATAACATTTTCGTAACGTACGAATTGTTTGTAACAAGTGAGCATCCAGTGACGAAACAGCTGGAATGAGTTCATAACTTCGAACACGACCAAACCATCTGCAGGAATTCATTACTGAAGCTGGTTTGGTCATTTTTGTACGTGAAGGGGTTAATGTGCAGTGGTTAGGGTTGCCATGCGTAGGAGAAAGTTGTGTTCTGAAGGCCGTGCAAAGGGTACATTCATCTGTTTTTCATACAGCATCGTAATAAGACGCAAATGAGAAACCAGCAGTACTTCGTGCAAGAGTTCTTATGAATTAGTCTTCATGACTTGTCAAATAACAGAATGATGAACCCAGAAGGTTGTTATTTATATTTTTATGTAAACAATTTTAACCTTCTCTCGTCGGCTAATTCCCAAACTTTGCATAAAAGTGTTGCAAGTGTCACATGTGGCCTGCGAGCAGAAAGTTCTGACCCCTACCTTGTATAGTTTATAGTGTCTACGTCCGTTTCGAAATTCTTTTGATCAATTTATAATTACTCCATATGGCAACAACTCAACAATAATAATTATTTACAGTATTCACGCCATTATTAAATGTACTCTGTGAAAACTACAATTATTATAGTCTGACTTGTAGCATGAAACAAGTGTTCTTATACATTATAAAACATGTTTTATTTCGTAAACGAATCATTAATCTTCACATCGACTTCGCAGAATGTATGAAATCGCTAGAGTTCGTCTTTATCTGAGGTCTTTTTGAATCTGCTTTGGAGAGAGTCCCAGAATTCAATTCGCTCTTTTAGAAGCCCTTGGCCTGGGTGTAGTCCGTCGTAAGCAATGCGAGCGTAGTCGAGCACATCGGGTGAAGAAACAGGATTCCATGATGGCGCTGGTTTCCTGTTGTAAGAAAGAACATTTTACAAACCGGAACATTATTAACAGACAGTGAAGTCATCCTATTTCAAGCTGTACAGTCACCAAGTACTAGCTTACAGTTGTCATGGAATGGTCAGTGAAAGCTTCTTGTACACGAAGTACAGTAAAGATCTCCGAAAATGGCTGTCTGACGCGACAACCCAGAGGACAGCCGTGAGAACCTGAAATGTCACCGAACTCTCTCTACTCCGCGTTACATATAAAAGAATAGAAGTAGCTATTTTGAAATGCACTGCTGCTTGCGCTCGCGGTGACGGAATTCGGTACTACAGCACAACGTGAGTCAAACTTGATTTGTTTTGCTGCAAAATGACACCTCAACCGATTCTGTAAGCTTTCTGGTTAAATTTCTATACACTTTAAAAGTTGTAAAGTCCTTTTAGAATCACCCTGTATTTAGATTTACATCGGAACATTCACAATGTTCCGATGTAAATCGAATGCTCGATATGGAACATAAGATGATATTTTAATCATTTTAATTATCTTATCTTACTATTTTATTGTGATTTGACGGTAAACAAATATAATAATTATTTTGTCTTAAAAATATGTCGGCATGCATTGGTGTTTCTGTCTGCCGTAAGTAGCGTGCAACGTAAATGTGCTTTGATACAATTAATAAATTTTAAAGGGCTCTAATTTTAATATTAGTTTACCAAAAATAACTGAAAAATTCAAACAACTTAAAATGTGAACTTCAATTATTCCGCCTTTCTGCATCGTGTAAGGATCAAAGAATATAACTTTAAAATGATACCACTAATATATTTTCAAAAAAAATTATAAAAACACGTCTCATTTTAAATATAAATAACCATGTCGTGAAAATGATGATGCTCTAATTGTAAATCGAACATTTCGATAGAAAGAGCATCATTTTAATATATATTTTAATATATTTTAAATATTTTAAATATTAAATGTTAATTATAGTAATAATATTTTAATATTTAATACGTCATTTCACTGTATTAAGCCCATATTTTCCGCCATATCTAATTCTCATTATCTGACGTCAGTCTAAAAATGAACGTACTTTTAATTTCCCATACTAGTTTATACAGCGTGTGATAAAGCCATCGAAATTCATATAAGTTATGTAGTGTGTATGGAATGAGGTTAGCATACCCTTGGCGAGCGAAGTTCACCCAAAGCGTTGTTAGAGTTTCTACCATATGTTCATCTTCTGGCGTCAGTTTGGAGTTAGGGAATGTGTGATTTTGTGGGAACAAGTACAACACGTCGTCTAGGTGAACGGGACCTGAAATTCAAATAAAATGAATAACTGCTTGCCCTAAGTAAATACGTATTACTAAACATGGAAATCATACACAAGAGAGATTTAAAAAAAATCCTTAATCTTGGAAAAGTTTTCGTTGTGTGACTGGTCACATTGCCGAGGTCTGGTCGTACTTTATCTCAAGGTCAATCTGTGCCACGCTGCGAGTGTGGTTCACTTTTCCGTTTTTACCGAGTGATCGTGGCGTAGACATTGTGGGAATGCACTATAATATTTCTGAAAAAATTTTAAATTCCCAGTAAACGTTTCTATTGATTGCCTTTCAGTTAACTGCAGTACATACGTAAAACAATCTGTGGAGAGGAAATTTAGGATGAAATTAATGCGACATTTGGTAAACGTAACTTGAAAAAAATATTCCAAATTTGTCTACAGAGACATGTACATCCTATCGATATATTTTGCCTTTGTTCCTGTGCTTAGAAGTAACGTAAGATATCTTTTTCTCAAATTTATTGTGTTTTCCTCTGTTTCTATCATCCCATCTGTGCTCCATATGATCTCATGTAGTATCAGTGGTCTAGACCAGTGGTATTCAACCTTTTTTGTTCGCGTACCCCCAGATATAATTTCTCTTCAACTTTGTACCCCCAAAGTTGTTGGTGTATAATTCAAGTTATACATAGTATATAATCTACATATAAAATAAATTAAATAAATTACATTACTGATTATTCAGTGTATTTTTTAAATTTCACGTTCCCCCAGGGGTACGCGTACCCCAGGTTGAATACCACTGGTCTATACAATAGACCCTGTTCGTGGTCACAGTTCCATGCAGACATTCTTATCCTCCTTAACAATAACAATGGTAATTGTGTGTATCTGCGTGTGTGAACCTGTTTCCTGTATTCTGAAACGAACACAAGATTCAATAGTTTGCTACAAATTCGTGTCCATTTGTACTTTTACCGTGAA